TTGTTGATTTATTTTTGCTTTAGGAAGAAGCACAGACCTGTCCCCCAAAGAGCTCCCGTGTATGTGGAGCAAAGTGAAAATGGCCATGATGGTGAGCAGCAGTTATAGTTCGCAGTCTATTAATTGTGTACAGCACTTTCATGATGTTTGCATCACACTGTAGGCTAATATTTAAATTGTAACAGTCAGGATTAACATTGCATATTACGAAGTTAAAGCTAAAAAAAAAACTGGGACTGCATAATAATACTCATACATCTTTTACAGTTGATGTTGTACCCAAACCATCTACACTTGGTCGAAGGAGTCCTATGCCTCTTTACGTTCTCAATGAAGATGTAAGTCCTTCTTTCATCTGGGGAAAAACCTTTCCAGCAGCTCTGCTACTAAACTGTCAGTTGGTTAATAATAATTACAACCTCGTACAGTCACGACTATGAACATAGTCCAGCTGATGTTCTGCTACAAACTATGTCTTGATTACATGAGAATCACCGATGAAAGCCCACAGCTGTCACACATGTGTCATCATCTTATTTCAGGAGAGCCTGGAGCGACTGGAAGAATGCTCTGGCAATGCTATGAGCCAATCAGAAACGAGTCTCCCCGCTACCTACGCTTCAGTCCCGCCTCCTTCCTCCCACAGAACTGATCGACCAATCTGGTCCACCCCACGCAGATACCCTCGCAGCTCCTCTCCACTCGCACAACCACTTCCACAACCCCTTCCAGGTTCCTCCCTACGCCCTGTCCGCTCCCCTGCTCACTCCCCGGGCTCATCTCCACGCAGTTTCAGTCCTGTGAGAAAGGTCCGTCCTCCTGTAGGCATCCCAACCGGCCACCTGCCTGTGGAGGTGGAATGTGCAGACACCAGCGATCAGACTCACACCCCACCACAGCACTGACAGCTACTCATGTTATGTGATGTACATGTATAGTTTGTTGGTTGTGTTCGGCCATGAGAATAATGGATCTGATGCACTAGGGTAATAGATGAGTTCACTTTCAGCTAACTTTCTGTCTTCCATTATTTATCATCTATTTCTCTGTGGCTATGCACAGTGTTTCTCTGGTCCTTTCAAAATATATCCTCTCACAGGAAAAGTTATATCCTGTCCACTAGCATGTAGTATATAATGTATATGATGCTGAGACATTAAAGAGTTTCTGGGTCTGATATATATTTTGCTCCTTGTTGAGTTATTATTGGGAAGTTTAAGATGTGACTGTACAGTTTTTGTTTGTTGTTATTTTTCTTTAGTCAGTTAAAAGCACACCCTGTATCCTTATGCCACATTAGGTCACTGTGTAACTAAGGTAATAAAAATTATTTAAATAATTTGTAGTTTGTCATCAAGCGATCCTTTTATTTCTATCAAAATCATAACTGCTACAGATGTTCACTCTTATTTTATGTCTTGCCTGATATCTACATAAACACTTTATTGTTATGCTGGCTACACACGGCACAGAAGAAATAAAGACACACCTTCCTCTTTGTCTTTGTAAGGTAGCTGAACTCGATGTACCGTTCTGAATATTAAGTGCAATACTTGTCTGCTCCATTAGGTGTCACTCAAACATTTCCTTGAATACTTGAGTTTTATGCACTCTGGCAGGAAACAATTTAAATAGTACAGATTTACATCTAACTGTATTTTATATGATCTGTTTTTCATGATAGTTTGCTTTTTTTTAATCTTTGTGGGTTTTTTGTTTGTTTGTTTGTTTGTTTGTTTGTTTGACAAACTCATGAAGACTATTTTGCCCCTTTGTTTTGCCTAATATTGGCAAGTGCAGGTGGTACAGTGACAGCGGCCTTTGTTTAACCCATAACTATATCTGCTTCAGGTATGAATAATATGAGCTAACTGACTTTAAAATGAGCTATTTCAAAAAGGAACTTTTAATTTATGTAACATAAATCATATTTTCCTTGAACCATTTGTATCATATTTACCCTTTGACTCTCACTTTGAATAGGTGAAGGCTGCATTACAGACAGGCATGCAACATACATGTACAGAATAGCCACGGGAAGCTTCACCAACGCTGTGAGTTCAACAGATGTGATGATGCTTTTAGTTAGATGCACTTTGCAAGATTTACTTATAAAGGTAAAAAGGTCTGAAAGGAGAAAATGAATTTTTGATCCTGGTGATGAGACTCGCACACACAGAATAAGCGGATGTGAGCTTGTGAAAGTGTCTACAAACACATGCAAACAAAGTATCCCGGTTTATCACTATTATTAAGATAATGTGTTCCCTTCAGAGGTCCAGCTGGACATCTTTTGTCATGAAAATCTGCATGATTTTACTGATTGCTTTTGAACTGTACCTTCCCTCACTGAAGGTGTGAGTATTACGGTTGCATAAGCGAATCAGGGGCCGCCTGTTTTGATCTGGGCTTCGTGGTCTTTGTTCTGTTTGAAACACCATTTATCACTTAGCAGGCAGGCTCATGAATACACATGCATCATGGGATTACGCAGCGAGAAGAATACATGTGCATAATCACATGTGTGTTACAGTAAGTGGAAAATGAAATATCCTTTGGTAGTGAGAACAGGCCGTTTTTATTCAGCTGTGTACTTTGATGTCACATATTGATTATTAGTAGCACAGTCTGTCCCATCATCTTCCACCTGTTCTCCAGTGGTTACAGAAGAGCTTAGAAGTCAGAGCAGTAATTAACCTCTGGGGAACAGCGACCCGTCTGTGTGCAGAAAGCATGTGTGTGTTTGTATCTGCAGTAACTGAATAGAGAGGATGTGTGAAGTTTTCCCAGTTTATTGAACGACCACCTCCTGCTGCCTGACGGAGCCTCTTTTTTTTTAGCACCTTTCTTCACACCAAGCAGTCAGTGTGAAATTCCCTGTGGAGGAAGGTGACATTTTACTATTGGAAAGTTCTTATCCAGCTTTTTTTCTGAATAGGCAAAGATCTAGTGAAGTACTGACTTTGGCTTCAATATACACAACTGTGCAAAATTCAGAAGGTCTTTCAAAGGTTGGACATTGTTTTTTTTTTAGTCAGTTAACACGGACCTATGAATGATTCAAGACACCTTTAAATCTAAAAAAGACATCTAACTCAAGGGACAAAAAAAGAAGCAAAGAATCGATTTTACATTGACATTCTTAAGTGAGGAAGGTTGAAAAGGTTGAGTTTGCCAAATTACAGAAGAACTGGACTGAAAATCAGCAGTTACAGGTCTCATAGCATTTTATAAAATTTTCATTTACACAGTTTGATCCATAATTTCTTGGATAAAGACAGTTTTTATAGTTTTGTGTCTGTACGGGACCACAGTGGATTTTAAATAATAAGCACGGTGGGACTGAAGTGCTCACTTTCAGTTTAAATTTAAGGGGTTTAACACCATTTGATTTTATTTCATTTTCTTGCATTCACTGTTTAGGATTTAAAGTCAGACATGTGACAGCCTGGCGACCTGTCCAGGGTGTACATTGCCTCTCATACTATGGCTGCTGGGCTTCAGCCCCCCCATGACCCTGGATGGATGGATGGATGGATGAATGGATTTAAAGCCATTATACACAGTCCCCCATTTTCAGATGCTCAAAAGTAATCGGACAATTGACTAACAAGCAGTTTTATGCCCAGATGAAGATTATTTTATGACAAATGAAGCAAACATAATGGCTTGGCTTACTTCAGTCCAAGTCCACACAACAGTGGTGCACATTCTTAACTATATTTATTTTGGAGAGGCTCATGAAATATTTTGCTAAAGATTAAGAGAGCGTTTCCCAGCAAATTTAGAAAATAAATCCATACAATCTGTTCTGGCTTCTGTGAACCACTTTCCCCTTTAACATTGCAGAGTTTCTGTGACCCAAAGAGTCCCTGTTATCTAAAAGTATACAAAAAGAGATCAGAAAAGATAAGACAAGAATTTAAAAGATGCGACAGAGCTTTATTTATTTATTTATTTATGTGTCATTCCTCCACTCATAAGCCCTAGAATATATCCTGCAGCTCTTTGGGCCTCAGTAATACTTTTGATACTGCTGGATTAAAATGCATGTTTAACATGTTTGATAATTAATGCATCTGTTCTTCTTTACAACAGAGCCGTTTTGATTTTAACTACTTTGTCCTTCAGGGCTATATCTGCTTCTCTTTCTGAGGTTTTTCACCTTGGAGCATTTGCAGTGAAAATCTACTTATGCAGTATAGATAAACAAACTACAACAACATCAAAACTTAAATCAGAAATGCACTACATGAAATGCATCAAGCCTGGTCAGTCAATCTTTTACATGGCCTAAATGTGTAACAAAAATGTATGAAATCATTGTTTTGTAGTATTTTAGTGTTGCTAAGAAAAATAAATGTGCCTTGAAATCTTCCCAAGTGCCCTTCTGAACTCATCTGCAGGACCTGCCATTAAAAATAAAGAAGATGAGCCGACTGAGAGGAGGAACACACACGCTCACACATATTCACTAACACAGCACAAACAAGCTCACTGGCCGACTCAAAGAACAAGGTCATTTGAAAATACACCCCTCCTTTGTTGGACATTTAGTCCCCTTGATAAGATATACTTTTCTAGGATTTTCCACGTAACCCTGAGTCCCTAATCAGAGTGTTGTTTGAGCCCTGTGTGCCTTTCGGCCCAATAACAACCGCTGTTGTTATTGCAACTGTAATGTAATTTTTCAGACAGGAGTGACATAAATAAATTATCTTCAGTATCTGATGATGCTTTTGTGTTTGTGTTTTCCTATAATTTTCAGGGGATTGGACGTTGTAGATAAGAGGTTCAGGTAAAAGCCCCTAAAAGCTCCACGCCACTTAAGTTCCATGGCAACCAATACAAGTACCAGTTATCTTCATATTACTCCATACCCCTCCAGCTCCCTGACATGTACCCTTCCTCACCAGCTTCGTCGCTCCCAGCCTCTCTCTCCTCCTCGTAGCTTTCCCTTTTGCATGTGCATCGATTGTGTCTGAGCATGTGCGCGTGCATCTGCATGTGAGTCAGCTGCATCCTCAGCACCTGGGTCATTACTTCCAGCCTCCGCACGGGAAGCTTCACTAACGCTGTGAGTTCAAAAGATGTGATGACGCTTTTAGTTATTGCAACTGTTTTAATGTTAAATGTTTCTGTTTTATTGGAAGATAATTTAAGAAACTATTTGACTGTGTGTTCATTTTTGTTTTATACACAATTTTATGTTTTTCATAGTGATATTTTGCATCAGTACTGTTCTGTTGTGACCATTTTTTTTTGTTTGTTTTGGTTTTTTTTGCTGTAAAACTTGTTTTTTGGTAACTATCATGCTTTTATAAGCTCTGCAGAAATACCCTGGTGGTTCCCAGGTTTGTCAGGACTCCAACACAGAATATCTGTGGGTGTGTAAGAGAGGAGAGGGAGGCCAATATGGGTTCCAGCTCTTCCTCCTATGCCCCCAAAACTATTTACCTGGATGTGGATGGAAAGGTGCAGAAGGTGAGTCTAATTTTAAATATTTGCATTATCAATATTACGGATCCATTTTTCATTGGTTTAACTCAAAACCTTTACCCCGTTTCAGTGACTCAGTTTTTTATTATTCTATCGATTTTAGGATAATAATTAGAATTTCATAATAGGTTTAATTGTTAAAACAGCAATCGATAACTATTGCAGTTAAATGATTCCATTTATAATTCACCTCCTAGGCTTTCCTACAAGCAAATTCCCAGTGGATACACTTCAGCTGAGGAGGAGCTAAAATTAGAGAGTGGTGCTCATCAGTTTGCTTCACAGGTGTTAATGACAGACCCAAACACCTGTTTGTGAAGCTCTCACAAACCTTCGTTAATGTTTGATGTTGTACACAGAACACAATATAGATTTACATCTATCTATCTATTCAATTACATTAACATTTCAATAAGCAGGAATTGAGTTAATAATGGAGGGCGATGTAGAAACGGGAAAAAAAGCACAGATTTTCTTCAGATTCTTAATCATAACAACAGCAGCTGCCATGGCTAATGCTTTCAGTACACACACTGAGATTTGCTGATCTGGTGATGTAGAGTTCTTCTGGCGATGACATGTCTATTCAAAAGCCCCAAACACACAGCCTGAGGCTGTTGTTTGTCTGCTACATCTGCTCACTTGAGATTACATGGATAGATGCACACACTTTTGACCACCAAGTCTCTAAGCAGATTTTATAAACTTGGTGCTTGTATTTTACGCTTAAGTTTCATGAACTTAGCAAATTTATTTCTGCAATTTGAGATCAATAAAACCAAACTTTATCCACCTTTTTAATGAACAAATTATTTTTTTTATTGTTCCCTGGTGTTTTTGACTTATTTAACTATTAAAAATAATTGACTCTTACCTTATGTTCCCAGGTGATGACACAGACACTCTAAAGCCTCAAGCTTCAACTGTTTGTGTGAATGTGTACCTGATACAAAAATGGCAGCACTTTTTTTAATGTTTGCTTTTGAGAAGACTCATTTTACATGACTGTAACTGACAACTAATTTATTTGATCTATACCTGAATATGAGAATAAGATGTGTATCTGAAGAAATAAACCAAAGCAGGAGCTGTGTTTACATCACAGGTGGTGTTCAGCCAGCATTGCAGCCCATGTGACATCAAGGAACTTCTGTGTTCATCATCTAACATTCCCAGGTTTGTTGTTTAGTCTTACTAAAGTTACAGAGGTTGAATTCAAAAACAGCTTTATTGCTGAGCTCTCTCAGAACACACTGAAAGTTGCTAAGCAGGAAATAATCCACATTTAATTCAACACAGGGAAAACACACACACAGGGATACTCAGACAAAATATACACACAGAGGACAAGGAGGGAAAAGGCCACAGGCGGGAACACAGCTGACACTAATCAGAGACTAATGAGACCAGAACACAATACAAAGGAGGCAGGAGACTATCAAAATAAAACAGGAAATAACACACACTGAGACCTAGACTGAGATACATGAACTTGACACAGGGACTGGCCCACTGAAAAGTTACCATGAAAGGATAAGGAAACCAGTTAGGAGACAGAGAGACCAGACAGACACTGAAACATAAAAAGCGAAACAAAGGATAATAAAACACGGAGACTAAACAGACTACAGCAGGAGACACTGATGACAAGACGGAGACGAGACCAGCAACAGACTGGACTTGAAAGGGAACTTAATGTAACAAAACAAGAACCACGAACTAGAAATAACAAACTGAGATGCACCAGAGAAAACAAAACTCAAGACTAATGAAGAACTAGAATATTAAAATCTCTTAAATAGACAAGACCAAAATAAATGTAAAAACTGGGTCAAAGACCCAGGAACATGCCTGTCAAATTATGTCACAATTGTGCTTTTTAACAGCAAATAACAGAAATATTAATACAATTAGTATGTGTGTCTTACAAAAGGTTCAAGGTTAAACTTATTTCCACAACTGACACACAAAAATAAATAAATAAAGAAAGAAAGCTTAATTTTTAAAAGATTTTATACATATACAGTGCTTAACAAGCTTACAAGAGCTTCACCCAATGTAAGAAGTGACCATTATCAAATTCATTTTTATATTTCTGTAATGCTTAAGCCATCAATATATACCAGACTCTTTAATCTAAATTATATTCATAATGCAAAATTTGATTATTGTTATCCATGAATTTTCAAATGTATTGTTTACAAAAAAGCAGAAAAAAACAGTCTAGAGTGATGGATCAAATTTGGATATAAAAACATGGAATAGGCTTGTTACTTGCCTAATAGATTACATCATTTTGAGATTTAAACATGGTTTTGGCAAATTTTAAAATTGTGTTTCCTTGTTTTATAGCAGGAGGATAATAAACAATTAAGTATGTAAATTATAAAAAGTTAAGGGCAGATGTTTTAACTCTCTCTTTCTTTTCCTCATCTTGCGACAGGAACACTGCCATTATGATGGTGGATCAAGAGGGTGCCTTGGTCTCCATCGATCCAACCATGCCTACCAACTCTCCAAAGTATTGTTAAAGTATTGTTAGGCATTGGGATCAAAGCATTGTTAGACATTGGGATATAATTACTTTCGGGAAAGTAGCAGAGTAATCACGATCATTATCATCATCAGATCTAACTAGCTGCAAAGAAGCTTTCAATAATAACCAGATAACAGTTGCTTCTCAAATTTGCATGAAGCAGTGTTTCTAAAATTGAAAAATACTTTAAAACCTTGAGGAAAAGAAATAATAATAATTGTACATCTGATTTCCTCACAGCTCTTTGTACAAAGTTGTTCCACTGTCTACTCCTCAGCTCGGAGGTAAAGTGTTTCAACAGCTCGGTGTAATGTACATTGAAACATCACATGTTTTTCAAAGTAATCACTGTAACAGAAAGTAATCAATACCCAAATCTGACAACATAATTGCTTATTGAGACTATACTGATGTTTGCAGAGAAGGAGGACATGTTTCAGAACGTGCTGTCCCAAGTCGCTGAGCAGTTCAGCAGGTAATGTCTTCATCTTTTATTCTTTCACACGTACCTAACCAGTGTTGGTCAAGTTACTTGAAAAAAGTAATTACTAATAATTAATGATTACTGACGGAGTCAAACTCAAAGTAATGTCAGTACTTCCAAGCTTTAAACGCTGCATGGTTGTACTCTCTCCCGCACTCCATATTATCCATTTCTGATCTACACACGTCTGTTGCAGCCACGGACGTCGCACACTTGTACGTCATTGTCATGACACACTTACAAACAATCATGGTTTAGTAACGCAGTGTGCTTACGGGAAAGTAACAGTAATCTAATTACTTTTTTGAAATAGAAATCCCTTTCTTTACTCATTACTTGAAAAAACTAATCAGATTACTGCCAATACCTAACACACATATCTGACACCGTGGTATTTCACTGACAAATGCTCAGGCCTTAGAGGCAAGTTCAGTCAGTTAGTAAAAAGAAAAATACAGTTTAGTCAGGACCAATATAGTCAAAACAATATTGTCAGTTCCAGTAATTATGCACACAAATCAGCAGCAAGATCCATGGTGCATAACAAAGCAGGCATCGGTGACAGCAGATATCACACTGATAGTCAGAAATTGCATGAGGAGGAAGAAATAGGGTGGAGGCTGGTTGCAAAGCAGATTGTAGATATGCAAACTGTAGGCACACTAAAGCAGCTTAAACAATGTGCTCTATATACTGATTTGCCGACAGGATGCATATATAGGCTGCGTCGTCAGCTGATGTTGGCTTGTTTTCTTTATTTTTTCGTTCGATTGCACCACTTGACATTCTCCATAAAATTCTCATATTGTCATTTGCCTTTCCCTCACAGAGCCTTTCGCATCAATGAGTTAAAGACTGAGGTCACCAACAGGATAGCCATGTTGGAAAAGAGGGTAGAGTGTGAGTGGTCTATTTAATACAACTAGTAATACGTTAATGTTATAGTATCGCTGTATGTATGCTTTTGGCTATGAAATTAAAACGATAAAATGCTTTTATAAGGTGTTGTAAGTACTTAAAGGTAAAATTGCTAGTCAACATGAAGACATTATATCATGTATGATTCAAGTTGTTATGATGTAATTATTATTGTTCTGAAATAAATGTCATATAATGCTTTCAATAGGTGTTTGTGCTTTAGCAGATCATTTTAGCATGTTCCTAGGTGGTTGCTAGGCAACCTGATAAAATCAAAATATCCGACATAGATAAGAACCTTAAGGAGCCTAAGATGTACTCGTGTGCCAAGTTTGGTTGCTCAACTCCTGATCATGTAGGTACTTGACAGTCAAAGGAACAAGTAGACAATCAAGCAAAGATTTTGTGTGTTAAAGGAAGATACAGCTGAGAGGATCTGAAAGGAAACATCATTTGGATTGACTATAACCTGCAATATTCCAGAGGGAACACATTCCTTAAGAAAATATTACTCTTCTTGTTTCAGTGGAGGGCTTGAAAGTAGTGGAGATTGAGAAGTGTAAAAATGAACTGAAGAAGCTTCGAGACGAAATGACTTCAAGAGGTGGTGGCAGGTGAAGTCTGATATAAAGCCTCTACAATTTCAAAAGTTATATCAAAAGTTAGTTAGTAAAAGAAAAAAGGGAATATGTCTCAAATTGTTTTCCTTCTTATCTCAGGGTAAATTGTCCATGTAAGTACAACTTCTCTGATGATGGGAAGAAGGTCACTCCAAGACGAGATGTCCCCAGTTACCCAAAGGTGTCTAATCTATGATAAATGTTTTCTTTGCTGTTGGACAAAGCACCCTTCTTAAGATATAATAGGTCTTTGATGATCTGATGGCTTTACTTGCTTGGCCGTTGCAGTACACGCTCTCTCAGGAGACTATTGAGGCGCTGAAGAAGCCAACGTTCGATGTATGGCACTGGGAACACAACGAGGTTTGTCAGTTTCCTTCAACCATTTTCACTGTGTCATCCAAATGACTGATGTTTGACTTCTTTTCTCTTTTCTTATTGCTGTAGATGCTGAGCTGTTTGGAGTACATGTACCATGACTTGGGACTGGTGAAGGAATTTAACATGAACCCCATCACCCTGAAACGCTGGCTGGTAATAAAGGACAGCAGGGGTATACTGGGTTATACTAAATAATGCAGAGAGTTCAGACACAGATTGAAAAAGAATTTTTAAAGGGCACAACCTATAAAATGCTTTTAATTCAAGACTCTGCAGTGAGCCCAATGAATGAATAATTTTCTGCCTTTCAGCTGGCAGTTCAGGAGAACTACCGTAACAACCCTTTCCACAACTTTCGTCACTGCTTCTGTGTTAGTCAGATGATGTATGGCATGATTCATCTCTGCAATCTGCAGGTATGGTGTGGATGTGTATACGCGCTCATGCATTTCAAGTGTATAATTTATCTGACTTTTCCAGCATTTATGCCATTTTTGCAAAATAAAGATCCTTTTTATGATAATGATCATTTACATTTTGTAACAAGCTCTTTCATTTACACTGCTGACCAGGAGAAGTTGACGCTCACAGATATGGGCATTTTAATGACAGCTGCAGTGTGTCACGACCTGGACCACCCGGGCTACAACAACACGTAAGATTCGCTATTCTCTCTGTAGGGGGTGTTGATTGATAGAGCTGCACATACCTGTTGACCCCCGGTATATTTTGACATCATCTGCACAACACTTGTTGATGGACTGTGAAACTAGTTCTGCATGGAGAGAACTCGGTTATGTAAACATGGCAATTCATTTTTATCGTATTTGTTTTGGGCTGTGGATTTCAGGCAGGCGAGAATATCTCTTATCAGAGAAACTTCATGAGAATATCCTATCCATCCATCTTGAGTCCATCCATTCAACAATGTCTTCCATCTATCAGGTACCAAATCAATGCACGCACAGAGCTGGCAGTACGCTACAACGACATCTCTCCGCTGGAGAACCATCACTGTGCCGTGGCTTTCCAGATCCTCTCTCTTCCCGAGTGCAATATCTTTGCGAATGTAGATCCCGAAGCATTCAAACAGATCCGAAAGGTTAGACGGGCATTCAAAACTATTACTAGTACAAATATATATTTATGACAAGCATGCCATTTCATTTCAATTCCTACAAACTTGCCACGTATTTTCATGTTTCATGTATAAGCAGATGTCAAGTTTACTTTGACTTTGCTCTTATGCTTCCAGGCAATTATCGCCCTCATTCTGGCCACCGATATGGCTAGACACGGAGAGATACTAGAGGCTTTTAAGCAAAAAGTGGACAACTTTGACTTCACCAATGAAGAGCATGTGACATGCGTACGTAGCCTGTGCATCATGGAGGTCATGTTGCAACTCTGCTTGACATAGGCTGTTTCTTTTACTGTGCTTAACAGATGTGACCTCAGAACAAACAGACTCATCGATTGTGCTGTACTTTGCAGAAGTGAAACTGGTTGTGTTAGTGTAATTGGGAAATTGGTTACAGAAATACAGTGAATGCTGAAAGACAAAAGTTAGCATTTTACTTTTATTCTCAGTTTGTGTGTGTTGTGCATGTGTTTCTACAAGTGTATGTTTGTTTTTTCAGCTGAAGATGCTTTTGATCAAGTGCTGTGATATTTCCAATGAGGTGAGGCCAACTGAGGTTGCTGAACCGTGGGTGGACTGTCTACTTGAGGAGTACTTTATGCAGGTGACGCCAACCAAAGCACTGATGTTCATCAGTAAATCTGTGATCTAATAATGCCAAATTAAAGCAAAGACTGAATACACTGAACTTAATAACAATACTTTGACAAATTTGTTTTCCAGAGTGACAGGGAGAAATCTGAGGGTCTCCCCGTCGCTCCCTTCATGGACAGGGATAAAGTTACCAAACCCACAGCTCAAATTGGATTCATCAAGTTTGTCCTTATTCCAATGTTTGAGACTGTCATGAAGGTATAACTCTGTCTTTCCAACTATGTGCAGATGTACAGTACTGTGCAAAAGTATGATGAGGTTTCATTCAACCGTAGATCAATCAGTTGAGGAACCAGACATATCTCTTAGGTCTTGGCATTCAGATACTATTCATCTTCTGAAGTTTGTTAGGCCTGTCACTTCTTTTGTCCTCCACTTGTCCAGTTTCTATTGCTCAAGATCACTTACAAAAATCGCAAGAAAATTTGGCACCTAGGAAGCAAATTATAAAGAAATAACAGCTGGCTATTTTGCATAGTACTGTAAACAGATTATGTTAAATTTATACTGTGGTATTTTCCACTAGCTTTTCCCTCAGATTGAAGAACTAATGGTTCAGCCTTTGAGAGACTCTCGTGACCACTATGAGGAACTGAAGCAGATTGATGATGCTATGACAGAGGTAAAATCTATTCTATCCCTACTCTTATCTATCTAGCTCTTTCTCTGACCTGACATTAATGTAGCTAGCTAATGTGGCTATTTTGTGTGTTTATCACGATAGTGAATGGAATCAACAGTTTATAACAGTGGGGACAATGAAAGTTGTGGTTTGGGAAAGTAATCTAATTTTCTTTCTAGTTTAAAGTTAGATAGGTAATTAAATGTTCTTCTTTTCAGTAAATTTATTACAGCTAGCATACAGACACAGCTAGCTTGCCTCTGTTAGCTCGTTGCACCTGCCTACCTGAAAGCTCACCTTATACTTTAGAAAACCTTATATGGTTTATTATTTTTGAAACCATACAAAACAATGCCATACTACACTCAGTGGCCACTTTATTAGGTATACTCTGCTAGTACCAGGTTGAGCCTCCTTTACCTGTAGAACTGCCTTACATTCAACAAGGTACTGGAAACAATTCTTATAACATCTTATGACATTTCTTTTTTTCATGTGCATATTCATGACACACTTCTCAGATACTCAGGCTGGTCTGACACCAACAACAGTGACACATTCAAATTCACATAAATCACCGTTGTTACTTATTGTGATGGTTGGTTTAAACTTCAGAATGTAATTTTCACTGCATCTACATGCCTAAATGTATTGTGTTACAGCCCTCTGATTGGCAGATTAGATATTTGTGGTAATGAGCAGTTGAACAGGTGTACCCACCAAAGTAGCCAGTGTGTGTATTCCTTCATTTCAGCCCTCACAGGCAAGTCAAATCAAATAATTTTTGTCTATATTGTCTATTGTCTGCAGCAGTATTTAGCCTTTGCATTAGTATCTACATGTAGACTGTTGAGGAAATCAACAGAGAAGTTGCTGAGTCTTGTATTGATATCATTTTTTTATAAGCAAAACTTCATATTGTGAGTGCAGCATGATGCAGCGTGCAAGACTGGGAACAATACCAGTTGAGCATGTACTTGTCAAGCAATTAAAATTAACTAATGTTGCCATAACAAATTAGAGCTGGGGAAATTGGTAGGAATATCAAAATATGAGATATTCCTCTCGCACGAAAAAAATGAAAACTGGTAAACAAATTCATGTTGACGTCCACAGTGCCATTTAAGCTTTCCATGGGAACTACCAATCACTGCCAGTTATCAGTTATGCAATGTGTTTCACACGGCTGTTGCCTCAGTTACACACACACGCGCACACACACACACAAATGCCTGCAGTAAGCCTACATTCATACACACACTAAAGAACTAAATGCTAACATAAAGGTGTGTCTTTTGTTCAATGAGGCACAGAAGAAAAAAACTGAAAATATGTCATTAGGCAGGAAGAAGAAGTAAGCTCTGCAGTGAGTGAGTACAGTGGTGTGTGTGTGAGTAACCGAGTCCTTGATTGTGCTTTAGTTCAGTGTTAGTTTCATGAGTGCTCTCTGTCTCTGCCTCTCTCCACAACTTGTCTGTAAACTGAACTCGATCTGTAAAAGGTGACCTTTAGAAATGTGCAACATTTTCATCACTTTGGATTCAGCAAGCACTTGATGTGTGAAAAAGTGTGAAGCTCTTGGCTGAACAGTATTAGAACAGATTACAATTTATTTTTAAACTGAGCAGGAAGAAAAACATTTTAAATTAATAAAATAGTCCATTTAAATTTAAGGCTTGCATATAAATATATTTTTCCATGGCTCAGATGATGAAACTAAACTGTTGAAATTGTTGCTCATCTATTTGTTTCTTTCACAGTGACAACAAAGAACAGTTTCTGTTCATGAGCTGAAACTTTAAACTTCTTTTTCTTCATCTCACATTGAGCTTTTTCACAGAAAAAGAACAAAGACTCTGAGTAAGTTTTGACTTTCCACAAAGGGAAGTCAATTTCTCACTCAAAGCTCTAAGACAACTTCTATCCGACTGACTTTTTCTGTGGTGGGTGATTGCTATCCAGAATGAGTTACTAACGAGTTCTTGTTAAAATCTAGTTTTTAGTTTCCATTTTGGCCCTTTAGGTCCATCTGCCTCTCTCTACCTAATTACAGCCATTATTTCATTCCAGGGATCATCTTTTATGATCACATTCAGGACAGACTTAAAAAAGTGTGAGTGAGGCTCCAGTGAAGACATCCAGCACTATGTTCCGAAGATGACAGATCTGCTTCGTTACACTGCTTCGTTACACTCTGGACTAAAATTAGGCATCAAGGTGACATATCTTGAACTTTGACTTCTGCACTGGAGGTTAAAGAGCAGGACCTGCTAATGTTTTTGTATATTTATGGACTTTATGTTGCTGGCCCTAGTCATTTTCATAGTGTCGATCATTTTGAACGTACAATTTCTCCAAAGGCAAGCTTAAAGCATTATTTTAAGATTCATTTTGAAGTAGTTTACCAATAATTTTTTTTTAACCAAAATAAAAATGTTTTCTTTTTTCCCTAAATTCTGGAGTAGGAAAAATAAAAAACACCAAAGTGAAATTTTCTGTGTTTTCCTAACAATTTTAATCAAATAAATTCATATAGGGGTATGAAGTGTCCAGTGTTTTTCCTAATTGTTTACATATATAGCACCAAATCACAACAACAACAACAACAACAGCAATGCGCTTTTGCATTGTAAGTTAAAAGTCCTTCAATGATACAGAGAAAATCCCAACAATCAGATGACCTCCTAGGAGCAAATATTTTATGATAGTGGGAAGGAAAAACTCAAACTCCCTTTTAACAGGAAGAAACCTGATCCAGGAAGAATCAGGGTCAGGGAGGGGCGGCCATCTGCTGTGTGGGAAGGAAGATAAGATTAGACACACTGTGGAAGAGACCAAGAGATTAATGATAACTAATGATTAATTACAGAGTAAATGTATAAACACAAAGTGAGTGAAAAAGAAACAGTGCATCATGGGAAACCTCCAGCAACCTAACTTCTGCGGTGTAACTAAGAGAGGATTCAGGGTCACCTGATCCAGCTCTAACATATGTTTTATCAAAACAGACATTTTCAGACTGATCTTGAAAGTAGTTAACGTGGTGCTTTGGGTGTCTGCTTCTCAAATCCAAACTGGAAGCTGGTTCCACAGAAGACAGGCCTGAAAGCTGAAGGCTCGGCCCTTTTACTTTTAGATGGCAAAAACAAGCAGTCTACTAACTTTATGTAGATTTTTTAGAGAAAAGTTTAAAAAAAATAAACCAAATGAGCCTGGTAAGGGCTGTAAAAGTGATCATGAGTTGGATTTTGGTATGAAAGATGTAAAAATATCTGCTATAATACAGTTTTTATTTATCTATTTATTTGCAACATTACTGGACATTAAATACACTTCATGCACAAGGACAGTAACATACTGAATTAAGTTCATATTTCAATAACTATGGTCAAGAATGCAAATCCAAACTTTCTCACAAAGTCAGCTAATGAATAACATGACATGATGACATTTTTCCTAACTTCTAAGTCTGCTTAGTTTTTAAATATTCTCACATCAAAGCACATTAAAGAAGTTATACATAGTTGTAAATCAAAGGCTTCTGCGACACCTATCCCTGAATTATTCCTGTTGTTTCATGAAGCTCTGTGCAGATATTTAAGTTGTCCTCTCTGCCCATCATCCAGATTGAGTGATATTTTATTGCCACATTTTAGACTCTAAAATACAGTCGATGTGTGTTGAAATATGACTAATTGTGGAGTTGTGTACGACCCAAAGGTGCCAATTATCTCAGCCCAATTCACGCCCTCTCGCTCCACAGTTTCCCTTCGAGCCTACTTTTTTTTTAAACTTTTTTTAGGGTACTATGTTGCCAGTCACTTGATTTTAGGCCTCACCTGCAAGCTTCATTTGACACATACTGAATACCACCTACATAGCTTTGATGAAATCACATAAATAATACAGAGCAACTCACAGCATCACTCACCAAAGAAATTATTCATGCTGCATGTTTTTTAGGTTTGTTTGTGCTGTTTATAAGAAACGTCAGGCTACCAGTGTATACCTGAACTTAATCAATGTCCATTCAGCAATTTACTGACAAGTAATTGGCGAGTGCTTTTTGGATTCATCTAATCTTTCGTGTGCACTCCAAAGGAGCTGATTATCTCAAACAGTTGAACAGATGTAAGTGTTGCTGCTGGGATGAGAGAAAGCAGGTAAATGACTTGGGGATGTGTCTCATTTGAATGGATGTAATTGCCCCTCTACATTCTCCATGTAGCGTGACAGAGTGTATTGACATTAACCGGCAGGAATGCTCAGATCATGAAAGGATTGTGCACTGCACTCTCCTGCGTTGCCTCTGATTGAACCACTGCAAGCAATAAATAAAAGGAGTGACTGTCTGACACGTTGAGACAGTGTGCAATACTTTTTCTATTATTATTGTTATTCTCTCAGTCGCTTCCTTTCTTATAACAACTGAATGCAAACGTTTTGGTTAAATCCCTTATTTTGCCCATACATGACTGACGACATAGTTGAACCTTAACCAAATCTACTAAACTTATCATTCAGTACACTATTAGATGTTTCCATGACTTCAGTGCTAATTAAAGTAACTGATATCTAAAAGCCTTTATACATTTTCTGTGCCTGGAGGCTGGGCGTTACATCGTGTTTAAGTCTCACAGTACTTGAATGGGCCTTTTTGTTGATGTGAAAGTAAATACTGTGTCTTCCTAAAACACCTCGAACGCAATTAAATGAGTAAATGTTTAACTAATCTTAGACTGCACTTGCACAATATTGTTTCCTTTAGTTGTTCCAGCCTTTCCTGCAATATTGATTCTTCTTTTCTTCTTCTTTAGATTTTTCTTCAGGTTCTCATCTTTTCCTCTGATTCTTCTTTTTCAGCTGCTTCTTCTGATTCTGCTTCTTCATTTCTCCTTTTCCAGATTCTTTTGCTTTTGCTTTGCACTTCTTGTTTCTCTGCATCTCCTTTTTTTTTATTCTTCTTTCTTCTTCATCTTCAGCAGATTTTATCTTCAGTCTTTTTTGGATGTTTTGAAGATTATTCATCTTCTTCCATCTCAGCCTTCCTTCTCTAAATTTGGTTTCAAACTCCTCAACCCAAGCTCCTATATACGTACTCATTTCTAACCCTGTCCTTTCTGGTCAATCTGAACAAAACTTTTAGCACCTAGTTCTACCACTTCCCGGACAGCCTTCAATCTTTTTGTCAGCTCGACTGTCTCCAAACCATACGTCATAGCAAGTCTCACTATCAATCTTGCAAACCTTCCCTTTGACTTTCACTGTCTTTCTTTCCTTGGTAGAAAATCTGTACCAGTTTTCAGTGAAATTAGCACAATTTCTGTTTTCTACCTGTTTCTTCACATCAAGGAGTGACTTATCCAGTCAGTTTGTGTTTAAATCCATTTGAGTCAATGTTGATTCTATCACCTGGGGTGCAAATGGTGCCAAATCTTGGAATACTACACACAGTGGCTTTAATTTTCATTATTTTCATTATCTATGATTTTGTAAATCAGTGCAACCGTATCTAAGACAATGTCAAAAAAGGTTATGAGCTGAAAATTTAGCACTTCCCGCAGCTTTATCTCCAAATCTCCAAATCATGGATCACAGCTGCTCTGGTGGTCTCACAACTCCTGATCTTTTAGCAAAGGGAAAGTTCAGGAGAAACTAAAAGGTAATTTGATCCAGCTCAAGGTTTCGAAGCTAGTTTTATCACCACATATCAGATCAAAGACGATGTGAGAAAAAAGTATACAGGAATGTTGATTAGAATTGATAAAAGATTTATTTTGTGAGGCAGCACAGAGCAGCGTGAAATCATGTCTGTGGTAGCAGGGTTATTGCGCCCTCGGGGTGTTTTTACTGTGTCATTAGCCTGTTTTGACTTGTTAATAATGGAAATAGAAATGGGTGCAGATTGATCAGAAAACTTTGCCTTGTTTATTACTATAAGGGCTTCAAGAGGCTCCAAAAGAGCTCTTTAAGTTGCATGTTTGTTCTGTGAGATACTCATAAAGGAGACAGATTTACAGATGCAGTATGTCATCCTCAGTTTTGTGTCATCCTTTTCTTACTCACTACTTTCCCAAGTCAATACACCGTGGAAAATTCCTCCCAGCTTGCACCCATCCAGGGGTTAAGGTAAGGGCATTTGTGTGTGGATGTGTGTTTGGGAAGCCTTGAAGCAGGAAGTGAATGATCCACCACACAGTTTCATGGAAAACACTAATACATAACTGGATTGCATGGAATTATTTTTTTTAAATGCTACCTGGCTTTTTTCTTTCCTTACTGCCCCATTTATCCATTCTTCACCATGCAGTTCCAGGTTGTCGGGCAGTTTCATAAGAATCTGAAGAAAGTCAGTGTGTGACCAGACAACAAGGCAGCTCAGACTTGTTTTTTGAGCACACACATCAAGACAGTTAAAACATCATGGCTGTCCCATTCTTCTGACTCCCACATTCACAAGAACGCCAAGCTCCTTGCTTGACCACTGGACTAGAGGAGACAAGCTAGATTTACTGAAGACAGTTACATCCCTTCCAATAATGCTATGCAGTCAAAGGTCAGGCGTGACAGTCAGCCTTAAATTCTGGTCCTGCATTTTTGTGTTAGACACTGAACTGTGGGAGAGTAAACAAAGAGCTGTGTCAGTCAGTGTAAATCTGGGCAACAAAAAAACCAAAAACAGCCATGGTTGGAGGGAAATCTGTAAATCTGTTTTTTTATTTAGTTTTCTTGTCTGACGACTTAGGTGTGTTTAAATACAGCACGATGTAATGTATTGCATAAAAACCTAAATAAATATCTACCAATGTTTTCCTTTTTTGTAATGCAAGATGAAAATGACTGCTTTTACATGTGTGTTATGATTTACAGATCATGGTGGCTCTTTAAAGGCATGAAATCTACGCATGCAAAACTATACAACAACATTTTACTACTTTATGATTCACACATCTTTATTCCCACGCCTGTGTGGAGAAGCTGGCATCACCAGTATGGGAGAAACAATGATTTTTTTTTTCATTATTGAAAAACTCCTCTGCTATTTTCTCTCGAGCCATCCAGCGCTCTGATTAGATCTTCTGGCATGCAGGCTCATGGCCCGGGGGAGTTAAAGGAATAACTTGATCCAAAACCTCACAGGTTAGCTTCTTTTACAAGCTACGACCTCACACATTCAGCCAGAGGCCTCTGAGACACCTGCACTACATCCTGATAAAACAAGTCTTAAATGTAACTTTTCCATGAAGTGTTGTCTTCAGAAACTGAAAAAATAAAGAGTTGTTATTATTATTAATTTGCAGTTGCTGCATTACCAAAATGATTTCGAACTTGCGACTTGAGCAACAAAAGCAGACGTTATTGGCATGTTACTCCGTTTTTATTGGCTGGTAAAATAAAAATTGCAAATTATATAGAATGTGTAAAAAGATGGGATTATAGTACTAGAGGTCAGAAGACATACTTTT